GGTGGCGGAGCCCGAGAGGCGCTGACCCACCCGGGAGGACTGGGACTCAGGGCCCCGCCCCTGGCTCCTCTCGCTCCGCCCCGAGTCCCGCGCGATTCCAACTCTGACCTGGGGCGCTCCGCCAACTGTTGGCCTTCGGGCGCGCACGCGCACTCCCTGGATTGGTTTGACAGCCTTAGTGTAGGATGTGACGGGCCGGAGGTGTCGCGATAGTTAGGTTCTCACCTCCTAGCGAGCGCGGTAACTATGGCGGGCCTGGGGGTCCAGGCTGAGCAGGAGCCGCTCTTAGGCGACCGCACACCCGGAAGCAGGTGAGCGGATGTGGGGGAAGGCACCCTAAGCTTCCTGCGCTAATGGGACTGGTCCCTTCACGGGTGCCAGCCATACCAGGCAAAAGGGGGAGGGGAGGCCAGAGCGGCGGGCGACGCGTGACCGGAAGTTGATCTCCCACCGCAGAGGAGGGGGAGTCCGAGCCCGCAGGTCCAGGTGAAGGTGTCACAGAAAGTCAAACGGCCTCAGCACGTTCACTCCGCAGTGCAGCCTCCAAGTCATTCGGCACTTGGCCTTCTACAGAGCTGAGCCCTTCACACATTTCACAAAAATTCCGAGATGATGATTTTAATTGTTAGTTGAACACACAGCTCTTAGTATTGACCTAATTGCTGGATTCTTTTTAAAAATATATATTTTACTGATTTTTTACAGAGAGGAAGAGAGAGGGATAGAGAGCTAGAAACATCCATCAGCTGCCTCCTGCACACCTCCCACTGGGGATGTGCCCGCAACCAAGGTACATGGCCTTGATCGGAATCGAACCCGGGACCCTTCAAGTCCGCAGGCCTTTGCTCCATCCACTGAGCAACCGGTCAGGGCTAATTGCTGGATTCTTTGTTAGCAAGTGAGCCCGTCTGAAATGGGTTCGCCGTTGTCCTGTGCCAAATATACAAAGACTACTTTTTTATTTAGGAGATGAAGTGTACTTTGACCCTTAATTATAAGGTTATTTTGCTCCTTATAATTAAGGGTCAAAGTACACTACTTTGTGGACAGTAATTCAGAATTGTTAGATTATCTGTTACTGTGCAATTAAGTATGTATTTTTGCCTTTAGGAAAACGGAGTTAAGTATCATTTTATTTGAAATAATAATTAAAATCAAGTAAATTAATACACTATTGAATTAGAGCTCTGTACATTAATTTTTGCTCATTTGTGTTTCTTAAGCACCAAACCTTATTTTACCATTCGGAAACTCTTTGGAAAATGTATTTCTCTGGTCTCTGATTTACTCCACAATATATGTAATGTAATTTTATCTTGAGATCACAGTTCATATGAATGCTGAAATGTTGTAATAGAGTGATGTTCTTGGCCTATTGAGACATTTTGGACTATTTGCTTCTATTCTGTTTTATTACACACTGCTATACTTTTAAAGTTTCATGTCTTTTTAAGTGTTTTGCCTAATCTGTTCTTGGCAGACTATCCCTCATCATGTTTTTGTTATCTGTTGGCAAACCTGTTTTTGTTGCTGTCAGCAACTTCTCTTCTCCCAACTTTATTTTGGGACTTCTACTTTGGTGCTGGTTCGAAAACCATATATAAGCTCAATAGAATTGTGCGTAGTTAGAACATAGAAGTTTGACTAAGGCCTAAAGATTTCTTCTTATTTATGCAATGGTATGTGTGGTGTTAAGCACTTCATACCTATGTAAATGTTGTATCAGGAACTGATTTAACATACCTGGCACAGTAGATCTATTATCTCTCTTCTTCCCTCCCTTTCTACCACTCCCAGTCACATCACAATTGAAAAATAAAGTTTCTTTTTTCAAGACTAATGTGAGTCTGAAATCTATTTTAGAAAATAATCTTGGAACATCAGAAATTATTTTGTCTGTTTTGCTTGTCTTAATTATTTGAAAACATAATTCTCATATTAAAGTAAATTTAACTCGTTCTTTATGCATATGTGAAAATGTAATGGGTATATACACTCATGTATGTCACCTGACAGAGGTAGGATGTCTGATTAATATACTTGGCCTTTAGTCCAGATCACAAGCCTGTATGAACGACCAACCCAGACTCTCTAGTCCACGTGTTAGAGCAAAGGCAAGTGTTCCAGGAGGCCTCAGGCTAGGAATGTGTTAGGTCACATCAAACTTTCCTGGTGTCACTTCTACATTAATTTGACCCAGCCAGAATAGCTTCCTGCAGCGAAGTTAATTTGCTGTCATCAAGTAGAGCATGTCATAATGATGACAGTAATTATCTTAAAATATTTAATAGTTGTATATCCCACATGTGGGAGATCTAATTATTGGAGCTAGTTTATTTATTTTGATAAACTTTATTCATTTTGTCAGTTTTACAAGTTTCAGCACTTTGGAATAATAAAATTGTATAATGATGCATAAATACAACCCATGGAAATCCAAAGAAATAGTGCTTATTCATAGATGAATTAGTACAGGAAAACCAGTATTAGTAAATTATACCTCTCATATCATTTCTATGATTTTAGACCATAGAAAATAAAGGTGTGCCAAGAAAGATTTGCATATAATGAGGTAACTTAGTACTACTTCTTTCTTCTTTACACCTAGAGAATGGGATATTATAGAAACTGAGGATCATTATAAGAGCCGATGGAGATCTATTAGGATTCTGTATCTTACTATGTTTCTCAGCAGTGTAGGTAAGTACTAGAAATTACATAATTTTAGAAATTCATATAATATATTTTAATATTTAATTAAAAAATTAGTTTTATTGTGGTAAAACTGCATAACTTTAAATTTACCATCTTGATCAGAGGTGTTAAGTATATCTACATGGCTGTATAACCAATATTTAGTTTTTCACCTTGCAAAACTGAAACTCTTTACCCAATTAACAACTCCTCATTACCACATCCTCCCAACCTCTAGGGACCACCATTCTACTTTCAGTTTCTATGAATGTGACTATTCTAGAATGTAGCAAAATATGGCTAAAGGGTTCAGGGTTTCTTTTTTTAAGTCATTAAAATGTTCTAAAATTGACTTTGGTGATGGTTTCACATATTTGTGATTATACCAAAAACCACTGAATTGTATTTTTTAAATGTGTAAATTGTATGATATGTGAATTATATCTTAATAAAACTTCTTTTAAAAAAACTTTATAGAATTTTGATTGCATGTGCCTAACATTTAAAATTGACAAATAGCAATGGAGTTTATCATTACAGTTCTCAATCAATAAAGCCTAACAGAAGTAATGACTTTTCTTTTAAGTGTCCTGTATTGTGTTTTTTTAAAAGATTTTTAAATTAATTTTTAAAGAGAGAGGAAGGGCCCTAACCGGTTTGGCTCAGTGGATAGAGCGTCAGCCTGCGGACTCAAGGGTCCCAGGTTCGATTCCAGTCACGGGCATGTACCTTGGTTGCGGGCACCCTCCCAGTAGGGCGTGTGCAGGAGGCAGGTGATCGATGTTTCTAACTCTCTATCCCTCTCCCTTCCTCTCTGTAAAAAAAAATCAATAAAATATATTTAAAAAAAAATAAAAAATAAAGAGAGAGGAAGGGAGCCCTAGCCAGTTTGGCTCAGTGCATAGAGTATTGGCCTGCAGAGTGAAGGGTCCCAGGTTCGATTCCCGTCAAGGGCACATACCTCTGTTGCTGGTGGGCTCATGTGGGAGGCAACCAATCAATGTGTCTCTCATATTGGTGTTTCCCTCTCTGTCAGAAAGACAGAAAGAAAAATATAGAATGAAAAAAAGAGAAGGGAGAGAGAGAGAAAGGGAAAAGGGAAAGAGAGAAACACTGATGGACTGCCTCATACGGGAGATTGATCCTGAAACCTCCCTGATCTGGAATCCAAACTGAGTCACACCAGCCAGGGCAGTGTCCTGGTTCTTTATAACTACTGCCTTCTTTCATTTATTCCTAGACATCCCTATAGTTAATTATCTCTCCCAAACAACACCGATTAGGAGTCTAGCTCTTACTCTATAACAAAGTGGCCTTTCCTCCATTTCTGCTATAAACACTTTAACAAAGCTTTTAGTAATTATCATTTATAGTAAAGGCTTGAAAGGGAAAATAGGTAATTGACTTTTATTATATTAATTATGGTCAAAGACTATACTTATGTATTCTTTCAAGCCTAAAACTACATTGTTTCATAAAGTAGACATTTTAGGGCATAAATTTGTAAATTCAGAATTTTAAAATCCATGCTAGAATTTAAAAAATTGTATTTATAATGATGGAATTATTATAAATATAAATAACAGAGTTTACCTCTTTACAGGATTTTCTATTGTGATAATGTCAATATGGCCCTATCTCCAAAAGGTTTGTACACTTTATTCTTCTCTTAAGTAGCTTTAGTAGTATTAACTTTTTATGTAGTTAAGAGTTTTCTAGAGTCTCTTTGATATTCTATGATTTAATCTTTTTTCCCAATCTTTTTTTAAAAGTATATTTTTATTGATTTCAGAAAAGGAGAGGAGGAGAGAGAAAGAAACATCAATGATGAGAGAGAATTATTGATTGGCTGGCCCCCTACTGGGGATCGGAGCCAGCAGTTTGGGCATGTGCCCTTGACCAGAATCAAACCTGGTACCCTTCAGTCTGCAGGCTGACACTCTACCCACTGAGCCAAACCGGCTAGTGCTATGATTTAATCTTTACTAGAAAAACTCAAGATAATAATTCTTCAATAGAAGATTATAAGTAATGTGAACATATGCTTTATTGTGCAAACCAGAACACTTGAAGTGAAAGGAGTGCTATGCCAGGAAAATAGGATTATACCTGATCAGTCCCAGGCAAATGCACAGGTTTGGTCACCTACTTATTAGCCACTTTTGCATCCTATCAAAACCACCTCTCTAATAAAAACAAAACAAAAGTAAACTAGATTTAGTGCCACATTTGCATTGCTATTTTGAAAATTAATTTTAAAATTATATTACATGAAATTATTGCCCATGAGCCCTGGCAGGGTGGCTCAGTTGGTTAGAGCATCATCCCAATACACCAAGGTTGGGGGTTCGATGCCCAGTCAGGGCATGTACAAGAATCAACCAATAAGTGCATAAGTAAGTGGAACAACAAATCGATGTCTCTCTTTCTCTCTCAAATCAATAAATTAAAAATTAAAAAAAATTATACCCATGACAGTAAAAATTCTTTCCATACTGGCAGAGTTATTGGAATTGAAACAATATTTAACAATTCTGCAGCAACATCTTTGCTAAAAATATATTTCCATGCATCACAACTGTTGATTTGTATGGTCCCTGTACTAGTCTAATTAACCTTAGAATTCTCAAGAGAAGGTATTTGCAATAATTAGGTCTACTCAGTCCAATATGTTGAATTTTGAAAAGGTTCACACCTTCCCCCAGATATTTGAAAGCTCTTCAAAGGTAAATGTTTTGATTACATGAACTTATAATTGGTTCTTTAGCAATACAAATGTAACATTTTCACCAAAAAACTTAATTTTTTCAAGTTATTTCATCATAATATTGAGAGTTCATATGCACCAGGCACAGTACTAAATCTTTCACCTACATCATTTTTTGCTCTTCATAACAACCCTGTGATGTGGATATTATCGCTCCTGTTTGACAGATGAAGAAACTTAGAGAAGTTAGATAGCTGTATCCACTGAGCCAAACTGGCTAGGGCTGAACCAACATTTTTTAAAAATATATTTTTGATTTCAGAGAGGAAGAGAGAGGGATAGAGAGAGAAACATCGATGAGAATAATTGATCTGCTGCCTCCTGCACACCCCCTGCTGGGGATCGAGCCTGCAACCCGGGCATGTGCACTGACCGGGGATTCAAACCATGACCTCCTGGCTCATAGGTCCACACTCAACCCCTGATCCAAGCCAGCCAGGTTGATCCAACTATTTTTATAATAGTTCCAAAATATGAAGCTTCTCAAGCATTTCCTTGTGTATAGTGAATTCAGTACATTTCATTATAATGTCAGAAAGCTGAATCACTTACTATAAATAATGGTATTATAAAACTTATATTAGTTAGAATTGTTTTTATTTTTTTACATAAGAAATATTAGCCCTAGCTGGTTTGGCTCAGTGGATAGAGCATTGGCCTGTGGACTGAAGGATACCGGGTTTGATTCTGGTCAAGAGCACATGCCCAGGTTGCGGGCTCAATCCCCAGTAGGGAGCGTGCAGGAGGCAGCCAATCAATGATTTTCTCTCATCATTGATGTTTCTATCTCTCCCTCTCCTTTTCTCTCTGAAACCAGTAAAAATATATTAAAAATATATATTTCATGTCAGAAAAAATGTATTTATGTTTTAAATTTGACTTTTCTTGGATAATAATTCTTAAAGCATTGTACTTTTTTTCTGCAGATTGACAGGACAGCTGATACAAGTTTTTTGGGCTGGGTTATTGCTTCATTTAGTCTTGGCCAAATGGTAGCTTCACCTATATTTGGTTTGTGGTCTAATTATAGACCAAGAAAAGAACCTCTCATTGTCTCCATCTTCATTTCGGTGGCAGCCAACTGCCTCTATGCGTATGTGCACGTCCCAGCTTCTCATAATAAATACTACATGTTGGTTGCTCGTGGATTGGTGGGATTTGGAGCAGGTAATATGCATGTATATATATGTATGTTCTGTTGTGTCAGATTCACAAATTTATGGCCCAATCTCACTTGGTGTCACCCTTTCTTAATCTCATATCCAGTGTTCAACATATAGATGTGTGATCGCAAACATAGATATCTTCCTATCATTTAGCTTCTGCTCATGATGTTCCCATTACTCATCATTTCTCTCTTCTGTTCCCATCCTTCTTCATCCTTTAAGATTTAATTCAAGTTTCACATCTTCCATGAATTTTCTTAGGCTACCCTGTCCCTTTCTTTTTTCTTTTTTAAATATATTTTTATTGATTTTAGAGAGGAAGGGAACGAGAGATAGAAATATCAATGATAAGAGAGAATCATTGATCTGCTGCCTCCTGCATGCCCTCTACTGGGGATCGAGCCTGCAATCCAGGCATGTGCTCTTGACCAGAATCAAACCCGGGACCCTTCAGTCCACAGGCTGATGCTCTACCCATTGAGCCAAACCAGCTATGGCCCTGCTCCTTTCTTATATACTGTTTTGCGCTGTTTTTATCTTATATCACCAACCATACAGTAAACTTTTTTGTAATTAGATACAATTTGACTAAAAAACATATTTTGTGGCCTGGTCCCTAGCTAAGTCTCTTGTACACAGTAATTGCTCAATAAATTTTTGAATTAAATTGCTAGTGGATTTTTTTTCTGTTTCTTTTATTATAAGTCTAAGCATGCAGTTTTTGACATCTTTTAAAAATAGTTATAGCAATGAGTAATATGCCATTTACTCAGTGCTTTCTCAGTATTTAATGATGAAAAAATAGTTTAACATTTCTATAATGCCAGTTTTTAAAATACATGTTTTTATTGATTACAGAGAGGAAGGGAGAGGGAGAGATAGAAACATCAATGATGAGAGAGAATCATTGATCACCTGCCTCCTGCATGCCCCCTACTGGAAATTGAGCCCGCAACCTAGGCATGTGCCCTTGACAAGAATCGAACCTGGGACACTTCAGTCTGCAGACCGATGCTCTATCCACTGAACCAAACTGGCTAGGCTAATGCCATTTTTTTTTTCATTCAAATATTTAACTGTGTTTTCATATTACTAAAAATAATATTTTCTATTAATTGGTGCATTTCCTCAATAAACATGCTTTGTATGATCATAAAGAGGAAACAGTGGCTATACTAGGGATTAATATTTCCTCTGCATAAAGCCAACTTAAGTTGAAATTTTATAAACTGAAGGATATTTTTTTTAATTGTGTCTTTTCTTAGGAAATGTGGCAGTTATTAGATCATATATTGCTGGTGCTACTTCCCTTCAGGAAAGAACAAGTTCCATGGCAAATACAAGTGCATGTCAAGCATTAGGTTTTATTCTAGGTCCAGGTAGGTGTTTTTCACTTGTAACTACTTAACTTGAATTGGGTAGAACTTCTAAGTTCAAATGTTAAATGAAATCCAAATAGAAAACCTCATAGTTGAAGGGAAACTAGTATTTTTGGATGCAGCAGTGAGGCTAGACCAGGGGTGGGCAAACTTTTTGACTCGAGGGCCACAATGGGTTCTTAAACTGGACCGGAGGGCCGGAACAAAAGCATGGATGGAGTGTTTGTGTGAACTAATATAAATTCAAAGTAAACATCATTACATAAAAGGGTACGGTCTTTTTTTTTTTTTAGTTTTATTCATTTCAAACGGGCCGCATCCGGCCCGCGGGCCGTAGTTTGCCCACGGCTGGGCTAGACTCTTTAGAGGATGGGGCAAAAGTAGGTTTACAGTTATATGTGAAAGTTTATTCTTATATTATTTATTATTTATATTATTTTCCATATGTACTAACTCTGGGTCTTACTTTGCCCTCAGTGTCTAGCATAATATCTGGTATACACAGGTTCTCAGTAAATATTTTGATCACTTAAAGCATATTTTAAAGACTATCTCATTTAAACATTCTGTATAGATGAGTAAATGTAGACCTGAAAAGTTCAGATAACTTCCCTAATAATAACTACATCAATAAGCACTAACATTTACTGAGTATGTGCTAGATACTGTTCTAAGTGCTGCAGTATCTTACTTAATCCTCACCACAAAACTACATGTACATTTTTGGAAGAGCCAGATACAGAATCTAAATCAGGAAAGCAATTCAGTATTCTCCTAATCTGATTTGTGCCATAAAATCAGATTTAAAATATTAAATATATGTAGCTTAAATATCATATACACAGTAATATTTTAAAATATTTACTTGAAATGTGACAAGTTGATTAAATGTATAATTCTTTTATGGAAAAAATTGTATAATTTATATTTCTTATGGAGATGTTTAAAAAAATGAAATTACTGAAGTAACTACTTGAGATCTAATCCTTTGTAAATTCATGCACATCAGTGTTTCTCAATCTTTTTTTCATTATTGACCCCCTAAGGAGTTTTTTTAGACAATTTTTCCTAAACACTCCATGCCATGAAATTTTAATACCACAGACATACTGTATATTGTTTATGTACTGTATCTGTGCTTTATATAGAAAGAGTGAATTTTTCTGTCCCCCTCAACCAGAACCAGTTTTTTTTCTGTCTGTTCAGATACATGATGTAAATCAGTGGTTGGCAAACTGCAGCTCACGAGCCACATGTGGCTCTTTGGCCCCTTGAGTGTGGCTCTTCCACAAAATACCACGTGCGAGCGCGCACATACAGTACGATTGAAACTTTGTGGCCCATGCGCAGAAGTCGGTATTTTGTGGAAGAGCCACACTCAGGTGGCCAAAGAGCCGCATGTGGCTCGGGAGCCTCAGTTTGCCGACCACTGATGTAGATGAATGATTCCATGTTACTTCTAATTTCTTGGTAAAGGTCTTTCACATTTTTTAAAAATCTGTGTCTCCATAAAATAATTCATCTGTGTCGTTTTACTTTAATAAGTTTTTCAGACCTGTTTTGCACTCATTGGAGAAAAGGGCGTGACATGGGAGACTATCCAGCTTCAGATAAACATGTATACAGCACCAGTTTTACTTGGCGCCTTCCTTGGAGTTTTAAATATTATTCTGATCCTTTTTATATTAAGGTAATTAGACAGAAATGATAAAACTACTTTTATAGATTGTGAAATTAAATAAGCACTATCATTGTTGGAGGATAGTTATTCCTAAGAAGTCCTAATTTGTTATTTCATGTCTATAATTGTGTTCATATTTTCTGATTAGCTAATGTACTTACTTGTAACTAAAATAATAGACAATTTGATAAATGAGAACAGATTATAAGGTCTTTGAAAAGTTAAGGTTTGATCTTGATTTACTAATTCTAGTTTTCTAAGAAAATGGCATGAAAGCAACATTTTAAGTAGATGAGTGATTAGTATCAACCTTAAATACAAAAGTTACTTCAAATGTATCTTTTATCTTTTATATATTAGAAGAAATTTTATAAAGCTACAAAAATTTGGTTAGTTCATATTTCTTTGGAGTACTTTAACCAAGCATCCAAAAACATTTACAACTAATGTTTAAAAATCACTGTTGAACTTCAAATACTGATTAAGGTTGATCACATAGGCTTTTGGATGAATTTGGTTGTTCTTTTTTCCATTTTATATAGTATAATAAGTATCATGACTTGTATCTTTTAAATTTTGTTATATCTCATTGCTAATACTTTCATAACTCAAAAGTCATTATAAAAAGTTATATCAGAATGTGAAAAAATAGAAGGCTAGTAATAAATTTAACCCATTTGTCTATTATACCAAGCCTTTCATGGATACAATATTTATGTTTTTCTTTTTAAGAGAGCATCGTGTGGATGACTCAGGACGACAGTGTAAAAGTATTAATTTTGAAGAAGGTACTATTAAGCTGTTTAACTAAATTACTATAAAATTAACAAAGTGTTTCTAATGATCCATTGGTATTTACTTGGATTTTGCTTCTGAGGACAATAAAAGGGGTGACTTAGGAAAGATCTTCAAAGTTGAAAGTTACCTAAGTTGTTTAAAAAGAAAAGACATACGAATATCAGTTATTTGGTGTTCATGATTGGTGAGGTTAAAACCATTGCTAAAAATCACTTAGTCTTGGTTTCAGAGAGCCAATCCTACAGTTTTGTGTGTTTAGAAAGGGAGGTCATGACCCTATGTTGAATATCCAAGGTGCTTTTTTTTTTTTAAATATATATTTTATTGATTTTTTACATAGAGGAAGGGAGAGGAATAGAGAGTTAGAAACATTAATGAGAGAGAAACATCGATCTGCTGCCTCCTGCACACTCCCTACTGAGTATGTGCCCACAACCGAGTTACATGCCCTTGACTGGAATCGAACCTGGGACCCTTGAGTCTGCAGGCTGATGCTCTATCCATTGAGCCAAACAGGTTAGGGCCCAAGGTGCTTTCTTAATTGTACCCAAGTATAGCAGACTATTACCAAATCTCATTTGAAATTAGAGAAGGAACTCCTCAGAAATCCTGAGATAAAAAGGCAGGTACCATTATGGAAAAATTATAGAAACTTATTGAAAGTCACTGCCTGCCCCCTGCTGCTGCTACATATACACTTATACAGCATAAATGAACACATTCTTGTGTTACTTACCTGGTTTATTCTGAGTAAAATAGCATGACAGATGTATCTAAGATCTATATGGCTTCACACTTCTCAATTATATCAGGAATAGTTTGTACTTAGTGTATAGCTTAACTACACTGGTTCAAGATAAGGCAGTACACTCACTTTGCCCTCCTAAAGTATTACTTTGCAAAAATATAAATAACATTAGGACTTTTATGGTAACGACATGAGGATATTTACTAATACTAATTTCAGATATGATTGAAATTCAAAATAAAATATATATTCATTGAAGTGAATCACAGAAATGAGAACTGATTTTATAAACTATTTCAGGTCTTCATGAAATCCTCGTAATTTAAGATTAAGGTAATATAGGAAAAAAACCCTGCAACTGAAATTTAAAGCACGTGTATTTAGTATAAGATCATTTTAAAGAATTCTGTAAAATACATGCCTCTTCTGGACTGAGAGACACCAATAGATGGAGTATCTCCTGTAGATAACAGAATTTGAAGTGTATTTCCTGGGAAGAAAAGTTACTTTACTTTTAAATATTATTTAAAAGTTATTGCTGTCATATACATTGTTGATTTTAAATTATTTTGAAGCCTAAAAATGATTTTAAATGTTTAGTCATAGAATTTGCTACATATATTTCTACATTGTCTGATGACAAAATAACACCTGTAAGTAATATAATTTTTCTCCTGTTCACTATAGCAAGTACAGATGAAATTCAGATTCCCCAGAGAAGTATTGATAAAGTGGCTGTAGTGACTACCAATGTTCTGTTTTTCGTGGTCCTATTTATTTTTGCCCTTTTTGAAACGTAAGTTTTGTCTTCATCTACATCAGATTATGAAAACAATTTATATTTAATGCAATATTAATCAGGCATATAGTTGTTCTCAACTTTATGTAAGACATTTTCCTTGTCATGATGTAAAAAGTGTTTGATATTTAATTTAAATGTAGTTAATTTTGTCTGTAATCTTACTCCCCACATCTCTCTCTCTCTCTCTCCCCACTTCCTAAAATAATTTTTTTTTTTTTGGTTAATCCTCACCCGAGGATATTTTTCCATTGATTTTTAGGGAGAGGGAGAGACACACAGAGAGAAACATTGATGTGAGAGAAACACATTGAATGGTTGCCTCCTGCATGTGCTCTGACTGGGGCTGGAGCCTACAAAAAAGTATGTACCCTTGGCCGGAGTTGAACCTGGGACCCTTCAGTCCGCAGCCCAATGCTCTATCCCCTGAGCATTACCAAGTAGACCCTAAAATCAGTTAAAAAAACAACATATCCTTGGGTGAGGATTTTAAAAAATTACCATTTTAACTATTTTTATAAATATGTTTTTATTATTTTCAGAGAGAGAGGAAGAGGGGGTGGGGAGAGAGAGAGAGAGAAACATCAATGATGGGAGAGAATCATTGATTGGCTGCCTCCTTCACACCCCCTAATGGGGATCAAGCCTGCGAGCCTGCAACCCGGGTATGTGCCCTGCCTAGGAATCGAACCATGACTTCCTGGTTCATGGGTCGATACTCAATCACTGAGCCACACCAGCTGGGCTTAACTATTTTTAATTGTACAGTTCAGTGGCATTAAGTCCGTTCACAGTGTTGTGTGAATGTACTCTCCATTTCCCGAACCTTTTCATGATTCTAAACAGAATCTCTGCACCCATTAAACAATGTCTGCACTCCTTATCACCCAGCCCTTGGTAACCTTTATTCTACTTTCTCTCTGTAAATTTGCCTATTCTAGGTACTTCATATAAGTAGAATGATAGATTTGTCTTTTAGTGTCTTGCTTATTTCATTTAGCATGATGTTTTCAAAGTTCATCCATGTTTTAGCATGTGTCAGAATTTCATACCTTTTTATGGTTGAATAATATTCCATTATATGTATACCAATTTTGTTTATTCATCTATCTATGGTAATTTGTATTATTTCCACCTTTTGGCTCTTGTGAATAATGCTATGATGAACACTGGTGTACAAGTATCTATTTGAGTCCCTGCTTTCAGTTCTTTTGGGTATATAGCCAGAAGTGGAACCACTGGATCATATGGTAATTGTGTTTAACTCATTGAGAAACCATCAAACTATATTTCACATCAACTCATCTGATTTTAAAATTTAAAAAATGGTAATGTTTTATTTTTAATTTTGTTTTTTAGTTTTTTATATGTTCTTTAAAAAAAAAGAATGAACTTTTAAAACAATTTTTTTTTATTGATTTCAGAGAGAAAGGGAGAGGGAGAGATAGAAACATCAATGATGAGAGAGAATAATTGATTGGCTGCCTCCTGCATGCCCTCTACTGGGGATCGAGCCCACAACCCTGGCATGTGCCCTTGACCAGACTCGAACCCGGGACCCTTCAGTCCGCAGGCCAATGCTCTATCCACTGAATCAAACTGGCCAGGGCAAAAGAATGAATATTTTAAATATATTTCAATTCCATTTTGTAGCTAGTTAACAAAAAGAGATAGAAAATAGGAAAAGAAGATTGGCAAGGAAGGAGATAGTCATATAAGGGAAGAGAGACATTCAGAGAGGTAGGGTGAAAAATATATACATTCAATGATAGGGATGAAAGAGACTGAGAAAGAGAAAAGAAATTCCAGAAGATTCTAATATAATAATGGTAACATTATTTAATTGAAAAGAGACTTATTTAACCCAAAATATAACCATGATTATTTAGTTATATTAGAATGGTAGGAGTTTTGGTTTCTTTGTTTTATTTTCCTGTTTTTCAAACTTTCAACAATGTGGATATATTACTTTATAATAAAATGTTAAAAAATAAGAACACAAACACTCAAATTTAGTAGCTTGTGCATGTAACATCGAAATGTGCTGAAAATGCACTGGCTGGGTAGCTCAGTTGGTTAGAGCATTGTCCAGATACTGCAAAGTTGGATCTCCGGTCAGGGCACACACAAGAATCAACCAATGAATGCATAAATAAGTGGAACAACAAATTCATGCTTTCTCT